CATCCTTATTTCCATTACAGAACACCAGCCACATATGACACAGGAGGATATTTCCTGTTAGTAATTCTGAGAAAAGTTAGATTGGAAACCAGGTGATGGGACTGGGGTATTCCTAATAACCACACTACTTTCTAATTCCACGAAATCAGCTGGTTTCAATTCTGCGTCTAAGCTACGGGATGCGATACTTGGCTTCCTGGGTCTGGCTTGTTTCACTTAACAGAATGACCTCTCGCTCTGGCAACGTTGTTGCAGATGGCAGGTTTTCAACCCCTTTTGGATTGAGCAGGATGCTACCACATATTACATAATGCAGTTTGAACCAGACACAATATATACTTGCATGTAAATATTTCCTGCTTCCTATAAATCTGTATAATCTCTACATTCCATTGAAAAATGTATTTTAAGTGAATATTCATATTTATGAGAGGACAGCTGAAATGAATCAGATTTTAAGACAGCTAACTCAGAAAAACCCGTTTTTTCCCCCCTTTGGTGTTCACATAAGCCACTATTATTTTCTCTTCTGCTTTTAAAAAGATTAAATACATTTAGTTTTTGCTTATTGTACCTGCCCTGTATAGTATCAGTGCCAATTTTACCTATTATATGTACCCTTATTATGTTAATAAATATTCACATTGGTTGTATCAGGTTTTATGTCTTACCATTTTCTTCTTTAAAACTCCTTGGGATTATACAGAGTAAAACTCTGTTTTTCTGAAAATGGCACTCCCTTGGTTGACCAAATTTGCTTTAATGATACCCTAAAATTGCTGTGCTCCCAGTTTAGTCAGATTCTGTGCAAGACGCTCTCAAGTTAACTATGGAAAATGATGATGGATGATAAGGCAGGTCCCAGAGCTTGAAAAATGAATTATCTTTTCCTTTTCATGTGGAAGATTAAGATCCAAACCCATTTTTTAAAGATTTGGACATTTTTCTATTAGAGAACAGATTCAGAATAATTCCATTTTATTAAGTGCAATTTCATATCCTTGTAATAAAATAGCCATTGTGAATAAAATCAGTCACATCCAAGTTCGGTATTGTGAGATAATTCTGATCTCATCTTAAGTAATTATTTGAGTTATCACAAAGCCTGAATATCAGAAAGTTCGTATTCATATCCTTATTTCTCTTGAACTTTGCACATTGTGTTTCTCCAGACAGCCTCATGCAGACTGCCTGCACTTGCTCTCAATCCCCATCTCCATCTTGGCCATGGCCCAGGCTCCCCATGATGTAGGACGTATGTGAAGAAAGGAACACGTCAGTATGGTTCCAGCACCCCAAACATATTTCAATCCAGAGAGTTCTTTTGTGCTTTATAAGGTAAAACCACTCTTCCTAGACTATACTTAGTGTGGTATACTTTAACCCAAGGACTAAAACAGATTTAAAAGCAGTGGTATAAGTGAATACTAATTTGTTTTCGTGATGTACTGTCCTGGTACATGGGTTACATGACGGTATTTTTGAGCAAATATATAAATCTGATAACCTTACTTCAAGGGGAATTCAAACACACCCACCCCATGCTGTTCTACCTTCCCCTATTCTCTCCCTTCCCTCTCATGTTAACCTCATTTGTTCCAGCATAGTTTCATTTCTACTTTTATACCACACATAAATATATTATTTCATATATCTATATAAAATCTAGGAAACACAGATGAGAAAACATAAGTTAATTTTCTTTATAGCTAAAAAAAAGTCCCCCCACTCTCTCTCTCAATCTGTCTCTCTGTCAATCTCTCTCTCTCTCTCTCTCTCTCTCTCTCTCTCTCTCTCTGATCTGTTGATCTGGAGGGTCATGTGTGGGATCAGCTACCCAGGAGTGATGCAGATGTTTTAATCGGTAGATGCACTGTTAGCATTTTGAAGGACTTCTATACTACTATCCACAGAGGATAAACTAGCTTGCATCCCCACCAGCAGGATACAGGGCCCTTTCTTCATTGCTTACCAGAATTTGTTGTTACTTGTTTTCTTGTTGGTAGCTATCACGGCTGAGTTGAAATGCAATTTCAGTGTAGTTTTACTTTGAGTCTCTCTGAAAGTTAGTGACAATAAACATCTTTAGGCCCATTAGCCACTTGTACTTTACGGGGGGTGTGGGGGTGGAAATAAGGGGAGATGGTTAGGGAGAGGGGAGAGGGGGAGGATTGGGGATGGCTTGGGGGAATGGGAGAGGGGAGGGAGGAAGGACGGTTATGGGAGCAGGGAAGTTTATATCTCAACTAAGGGAGCCATTTTAGGGTTTGCAAGAGACTTGATTCTGGAGGGGTTCCCAGGCCCAAGGAGAGGTCCCCAGATTGTTCCCTGGGCAGCAGAGGAGAGGGTGCCTGAACTGGTCTTGGCCCATAACCATACTGATGAATATTTTGCATGTCACCACAGAACCTTCATATGGTGAAGGATGGAGATAGAGACAGAGACACATATTGGAACACTGGACTTAACTCCCTAGGTCCAAATGAGAAGCAGAGGGAGGGAGATCGTAAGCAAGGAAGGCAGAACCAGAGGGAACCTTCATCCGACGATGTATGGAGATAGAGACGGAGACCCACATTGGAGCACTGGACTGAGACCCCAAGGTCCAAATGAAGAGCAGAAGGAAGGAGAACATGAAAAAGGAAGTCAGGACCGCGAAGGGTGCATTCACCCACTGATACAAGGGGACTGATCTAATGAGAGCTCACCAAGACCAGCTGGACTGGGACTGAACGAGCATGTGATCAAACCAGATTCTCTGAATGTGGCTGACATAGGGGCTGACTGAGAAGCCATTGACAATGGCACTGGGTCTTGTTTTGTCTGCATGTACTGGCTTTTTGGGATCCTGGTCTGTTTGGATGCTCACCTTCCTGAACCTGGAGGGAGGGGGGAGGAACTTGGATTCCCCACAGGACAGGAAACCCTGACTGCTCTTGGGAATGGTGAGGGAGGAAGAGAGGGAGTGGGGAGAGCGGGAGGGTATGGGGAAGAGGGAAGGAAGTGGAAATTCTTTAAATAAATAAATAAATAAGGAAAAAAACACCATATGTGAAGTTCAGCGAAATGGACCAGAGGAATCATGAATAGGTTTGGCCAACCAATTTCTTACAGAGATACTAAAAAAATACAACAACAAAAGCACAACCTTCTAAACAAATGATATTGGGAGAATTCTCATGTGGAAGAGTGGAACTAGATCCCCATCTCCTACCTTTGCACAAAACTCAGGTCCAAATAGATCAAAATCTTAACATCAGACCTGTAACTCTAAAAGTGGCAGAAGAAAAGTTAGCAAAACACTTCAAGACATAGGAATGAATGAGGCCTTTCTGGCTGGACTTTGGCAGCACAGGAGATAAAGATGACCATCTTAAATGATTGCTTATAGAGTTAAGTAGCATCTCCACAGGAATGGAAAAAGAAAAGGGGTATAGAAATGATTCAAAAAGTGGGAGAAAATTTTTACTAGTCATCCATCTGACAGAAGATTAATATCTGAGCTGTACTAAAGCTAATTAATAGAAAATCAAACAATTCAATCAATAAATATATTAATGAAATCAACGCTTACTTCTCAAACGTGAAATAGGTGTTTTTAAAATGTAGCCAGCAAGATGGCCATCTTTGTTTCAACGGCTGTAAACATAAAACACTATGACCAAAATCAACTGTGAAGGAAAGGGTTTATATCTGTCTACAAATCCTCACACACCGTCACTGACAGAAGTTAGAGCCAGAACTTAGAAGCAGGAATTGAAGCAGAGGCCAGAGAGGAGCATGGCTTCCTGGCTTGTTCTCCACGGCTTGCTTAGTCCACTTTATTGTAGCCTCCAGGACCACCTGACAAGGGGTGACACTGCCCACAATAGGACAGACCCTTCCTCACCTATCATTAATCAAGACCACAGACCAATGTGGTGGGCATTTTCTCACCTGCAAATCCCTCTTCCAAAATGATTCTACTTTGTTTCAAGCTGGCAAAACCCAACCAGCCCAATGGCTTCATGGCAAAGAGCACTTGTTACCAAACCTGGCAATCCGAGTTCTATCCCTAGAACCCACATTGTGGAAAGAAAGAAACCATTCCTGTAAGCTGCCCTCTGGTGTTCACAGGCATGCCCACTTACACATGACCAATGCTCATGCACATGCATGCACACAATGAATGTAAAAAAAAAAAAGAGTATAATCTGTAATCTTCCAAATTTCACAGTTCATGGATATAACTGTTGCCTGCTAAGGGAAATTTATTTTCCCACCCAGTAAATGGAAACAATTATCTCTGGAAGATGACTGTAACAGGTGAGTTCAAATGACCCAGCCTAGTGTCTGGGACATGCATTGTAGTTCATTTGTATCTAGTGCCAGTTAGGATAAACTTGGTTAGTAGTGTTTTCCATACCTGCCGCTAGAAGTTCACAGTTGCCATCCTGTGAGTCTAGAAATGTCTTTAGTGGGATCAATTTGAAACTCATATGAAAAGGCCAGAAAAGCCCTCTGATCACGTGCTCAGAAACAGGAGAAGTGAGACGCCCAAAGATCACAGCACATGCTGACATTCAGTGAAATAATTAACACGGACTTAGAGAGAAAATGAGCTGCACGGATTAAATGCCTGTTTATTGAAGAGGTTATTAAAGAACAAAATGTTAGGAAAGTGTTCACATTTGGTGACATGACCTCAAATTCCAGGAGAAATGAAATATTTCCTTAAAGTAACACAAAGGAGAGAAAACTGTATTAATCTAAGCTAATACATATGAAATACATATAAAACACATATGAAACTGTATTAATCCAAACTTAATACATATGAAGTACATATAAAATACATATGAAACTGTATTAATTAAAGCTTAATACATATGAAATATGTATAAAATACATATGGAACTGTATTAATCAAAGCTTAATACATATGAAATATATATAAAATACATATGTAACTGTATTAATCAAAGCTTAATGCATATGAAATACACATAAAATGCATGTGAAACTGTATTAATCCAAGCTTAACTGATACATATGAGAAGAAATCAAAGTGCATTCTGTTAACTGTTTACTTTTGATAGGTTTCCTTGAGACTTGGGTCTGTGGCTTAATCTGAAAAATCTGGTCACTAAATAAAGTTTTGCCCTCTTGTGTAATATTGGTGCTGTTATCAACCCCACTGCGCCTGTGAATCCTCTGGAGGGCGTGAAATACATGAAAGTATGACATCCAGCTCCTGAGTCTGCCATTCAATTTGTCTCATGTGTGGCCAAAGTATTTACATATTTTCTGGATGTCCCAGATTACTCTAATCTGTTCTAGGACTGAGTAACACGAGATGGACAGACAAATCCAACTGCCTGCATTTCTATCGCTGGCTTTTTTCCCCTCATGCTATATAATGTATATCCCTGCCTATTTTCCCCCTCATGCTATACAACACACTCTATCATGTCTCTTCACAAAGCCAATATTCAGTTTGTGTGATACACACTTTATTAACCACCGCCTGGCACTTAGTTGATGTTTTGGAATGATGTTTACTTAGGAGTGATTTCCAGAAAACCTCTTTGAATAGTCTTTGAATGTGTCTTGTTTTCATATATATTCCTCAGTCTCTGAGCACCACTGGGCATGCTCAGTGACTGGGAGCTGGCATTAGCAATGCTTCCCTCTGGGCACATCGAGAGTTTAGCCATAGATATGATCTGGATCACTAAATCCTCACTCTATTTCATAAAACTCGCAGTGGACAACAATGCCATCAACTGTACTAAACAATGCATCAAAACCTGCAATTATCAATTATCAATAACAATATAAATTCTTTTTCCACACATCAGATCATCCAAATCCTACAGCGGATCTCACTGTAGGAAGGTGATCGGCCTTGCATTTCCCTGGGGCTTGTGGTATCTCACAATGGGTAGTTCTATGTTGGAGGTGAGCACTGTGGATGAGAAGAGTACACATGCTCTATACACGTGAGGCGACATTAACCAGTGAAACAATGATCTCACGGAATGACCTAACAATCTCCGTAGCGCAGCTTCCGTAGTAACCCAGTAAAGTGAACTGTGATGGCTTGGCACTTATGTTGCTGTGTCTGTCACCGCCACTCACCTAGCGCTGGGCAGTAGTCTGTGCTCTGGTAACCCCGCCCCTTGCTGAGATTTCAGGCCACTGCTGGTGGTCAGGGCCGGCGCTGAGACTTCAGGTTCCTGGCCACTTGTGCGAAGATTAAAAACACAGACTACTACAGATTTGCAAGTGTGGCCCCATGACTTTACTCAGGGCGAATCAAGAGTATGGATTAGAAAACGACACACTGACAAGATTGACCTTGCACCATCTGATGAGGGCGCTCGAAGATGAGCTACTGGGTGGGACTTCCTTTTATGGGGGTCAAGAACAGGCAAAGTTTGGTTATTTAGGGGCACCTAGAAGGTGGTTCTCTGTCCCACTTAATAAATGAGGGGATATAATTATTTTTCTCCTCTGCATGTCCTTTCCCACAATGCATCTGTGAGAGTCCTATTAACAAAGACATGTTTGCCTTATTACACATGTAGCTAAAACCAGGTCAGTCTGAACCAGCCTTTCTGATCTTCATACCTGGATATACTGGGTATGAGGGGCATAGACGTGTGGGGAGGGTGGTACCTACAGCCCGATTCAGACAGTGGTCTGAGATGGTTTTGAGGTGGATAGATTGATTGGGGAAAGGGGTATGTGTGTACATCTAGGTGAGGAAATGAGGCTGTCACGTGCATTATTACAGAGGAGTATACATAACCAAAAACGAAGTAGAAGCCCAAGTTCCTAAGCTGTTCCTGTGCTGGTCTGCCTAACTTCCTCTAGATGCATGAACAGGGATGACTCAGATGAATACCAGAAATTAATTAAAATGTAATTCCAAAAACGGTTCCCACAACTGTGTTCTGAGAAATGCTGGGGCCACGCTGTATGAGAAACCACCTGGGTTTCTCACACTATAATACTGCAATACACAATGCACAAGCCCTAGAGAAACACATTCAGGCCTTACACATTGAATCTGTAATTACATTTCCCAAGCATAGTTGACTACCATATCTTTTATTCTGTAGGACTGTTAAAATTCAGTGACAGCTTTCTTCTGTAAAGAGTGGCTTGGTAAATTCCTGAAAACTCCTGTACTCAGGGTTGATTTGTGCAATAGAGAACACTCGGCCTCCAAGCAGATCCAAGCTCCACACGGCTTTAAAAGAGGCAAGGGCAGCGTGTCTGTAACCCTGGTCTGATCACGTTTATCCCTTCCTTTGTGGAACGTGGAAGAATTTGAGGATTCATTCCTCGTGACTGCACGGGCCGAAGTACCACACAGCACTGATGGTCCGCTGGCCTGCTAGTTACTTAGATCACAAGGCTCACTCCTCGTCTCCCTTTTTCTTAGAAATGCAATTTTAAAAATAACTCAAAATCATGTGCCAAGACAGACGAGCGGAAAACTTAATTAAACGCAACCTCTGCCTTAGATTCGTCTTTCGGACACGGAAGTGCATCACTGGAGAAGTCAGTCCTGCCATCCGTGGTGACGAGTGGACCCAAGAAGCATGTGGTTGCCATCAACACCGTCTGAGAAAAGCAAGGGTAGGAGCTATTATTTCCAAATAACCGAGAGGGCATTTACGGCTTGTTGAAATATATGTGAATAATAGGAAATAAGCATATTAACAATCTGCTAAGGCAATATTTCTATCATACCTAAAAGATTCCCCCTTAAAAATATGGTTGATATATATTATGGCTTATTTTTGTTAATTCTTTTAAATGCATACATGTGAGTGCCTACACCATGTGTGTGTATTGCACCATGTACATGCTTGGTGCCCACAGAGGCTGGAAGAATGTATTGAATCCACTAGAGTGGGAATCACAGACAGTTGCAAGCTGCCAGATATTGGAGCTAGGACCCCAATTCATTATATACAAGAACAGCAAGTGATTTTAACTGCTGAGTCATCTCTCTGACCTGATTCCCCTCTTTTTTAAAGCCTATTATGATGAAGCTTATTTACTGATGGGTAGTGTATATCAGTACAATAAAGACAAAAATCTGGATTTCTAGTTGCACCATTTAGAATCAAGCCACATTTATCAAGTCTCTCTATACCACACTACAGGCATGTGTAGAATGCCAAGCTGTTTAGCCTTCACAAAACAGTTTCTTTATTAAATACGTGCTGGGCATTTGAACTAGAGGCAGCTCTCCTAATTCTGAAGGTTCTTGTGCCTTATGCAGCCCATTCCGTTTTAGTGGGGGTGAATCCGTGACTGGCTTTGTGGCCAATGGAGCACAGCAAACGTGGAAGATGTATGTGAATGTGTATGCATGCACTGCACATGGATGTATGTGCCAATGGTGCCTAGCGTCACCTAGAGAAAAGCACACACCCTCCTCTCGTCTGCTCAGGGATGTAAACGGGTATGTTGGGAAGAGCCATGCGTCAAGAAGTTCAAGAATACACTATCAAGCGGAAAACTGAAGCCTCCGGTGTGGTGCAGAGGGAAGATGGTGATGCCGACACTTCCGGAAGCTTGGAAGCAGATCCTGTGGATACTCAGATGACACCGTAGCCCTGTTTACCACCGTGGCCACAGCTGCCCGAAACCCTGAAGGAAAAAACTCCAGCTAAGCTGCGCAGAGCTTCTGACCTTTGGATACTGGTGCACTGAATGCTTCCACAGTCTGTGCAATATTGTCCTAGAGTTACAGGTATTTATACAGGGAGTGGCAGACGGCAAGTGTCCAAACATAGCAGTTATATCATCACGACTGCAGTTACCGTGATCAGCTATTAAAATATTAGTTTACACCATTTCATCTTTATTATCCTATGGATCAATTAAGGTTGCATTTCTTTTTATGACCAAGGCTTTTAAAACTATTTTTTTATTTATTGTATTATTTATTTATTTATTTGCATGTGTTACTCATCCGTGCGCAGGTGAGTATACATGTGTATGCTTAGAGGCCACAAGTCAACCTCAGTCGGCAATCCTTAAGAAGCAATAGGCAACCAAAGCAAAATGTCACCACACACTACAGATAAAAGCTAACTGGAAGTGGATCATAGTCCTAAAGGCAAGAGTTAAGAGTATAATACTGAAATATGAAAATCTTCATGATCTTTGAGTTCTTACACAGAAAGTCTATTTTAAAAAAAACAGGCCCAAGTGCACATCCTCACTAAAAGTCATGCAGAAAAGTAGCGTTTGTGGTTACTTGTCTATGATAGGAAAAATATCAGGATGGTTGAACTTGGTTGTCAACTTGATCCAATCAGTAGTTAGTTAAGAGATGTGCCTCTGAGTGGGTCTGTGAGGCTAATTCCCCAAAAGATCAACTAAGGGTAGAAGATCCTACCCAAAGTGGGCAGCACCTCATTTCCGAAGCCCAGATGAGCAATGCTTGCTCCTGCCCCAGCTCCTGCTGCTGAAGAAGCCACCATGCTGACTCTGACATTGTTACCCCTTCATCGGGATCCAGATTCATCAGCCTTCTAACGTGAGATGAAGAAAAGAGATCTCCCGGAATCCGCTAAGACCCAGACCCAGAATAGGAATGCTGAGGCTTGCAGCCTCGTGGACTGAACAGTTCCTAGTTTCTCATCCTCTCTAGTGTACAGACAGCCATGGCTGGGCTACTCAGCCTCTATCATGCAAGTCAAACTGATGAATCTCCTTTGTTCGTATCCATCCCTTTGATTCTGTTCCCGCTGAGAATCCTAATGAGTACCCCGATCTAGAGCATGCATAGGCAATACGGTTTACTCACGAACCGGGATAAAACACGGCAGCAGGAGAATGTTTACTCATGACAGTTTAAATGACTCTCACAGACCTGATGCTGAGTGAAAGAAGCCATGCAGAAAGGGTACGGTTGATTTGGTGCTGAATTTTAAACAGGCGTGTCTAAACCGTGGGCATAGAAATCAGAGTTCAGAGTTGATTTATTTCTCCAAGAGAGTGGCGCCTGGGAGGACGCAGGGACACTTCTGCAACCTTGTGGGTTCCTGTACATTAGGTTAGGATTGCGCTGGTGCCAGACTCCTGAGAAACACGATGACTAATGAATCTAATATGTGCCACTCCACTGCATGTACATTGTCACACGGACAAAAATCAGGCTTCTTTCAGTTCATAGGAGAGAGCCAGCCCGAACAAAAACACAAAATACTACAGATGATAAAAATTAAATAAATAATATGTCAAACTCCATGAAAATTATTGCCAAATAATAACCATTTTTATTTATGGATTTACTTTGTGTGTGTGTGCGCGCGCGCACTTATGCATGTGTAAGTGAATGTGTCTGTGAGTGTGTTTGTGTGGATATGTGTGAATACATGCCAAGTTACACATGTGAATGTCAGCGTGTGTGAGTGTGTTTGTGCGCATATGTGGGTATATATGCCAAGTTACACATGTGGACATCAGAGGATACATTTGCAGGAGTTGGTTTTCTCCTTCTACTGTGTGAGTCCTTGGATTGAACTCAGGTCCTCAGGCTTGATGGCAAGTGTCTTTACCTGCTGAGCTATCTTGCCAGTCCAGGAATAACTTGTAAAACAGTTATGCATGAATGCAGGGCATAAAGAGATGGTGTATATAAGTGGTGCAATATTTCAAGGGAAAAATTCAAGACTTCAAGCATCTAATTTCTAAATATTTCTATTATGTTATTTTAGAGCTAAAATAACAGTAAAATTTATTCACCCACACACTTCAAAAATGTAAGCATTGTGTATAGTTAATAAGAGAAGTAAGTTAAAAATAAAACTTCTCTCTGTTTCGGAAATGTAAGGAATTTATAAACCGGGTTTTAAAAAAATAAGCTTTTAGCATTTACCTGGTGAGCAATTCAGCGTCAGGAAATAAAAGTGCGTATACAACAATACAATTAGTTTTAGTCTGTCTCTCAACTCTCATCATTACAAGGTAATTTTTCCTCCAGTAACAGTGGATGTTCATAGATAATGTTTTGATTTAACCGATCTGAGCCATTGTTGTAATCTTAATGTGAAATGCAACCCCTAGGTTCACATTTGAACCTTGGGATCCAGTTGATGATACTGGATTATTATGGGACTCTTCAGCAAGAGCCTCTCTGGGAACAGGCCTTGAAACTTTATAGTCCCCATTTGCTGTCTGTTTCCCCGTTGCCAATGAGATGTGACTGGGCTCTCTCGGGTCACAGGAGCTCCAGGTCTAGCGCTGTGCAGATCAGATGTACGAGTGCTCATCCTTTTGCTCTTGGATTTTACAGTCAGCCCCTCAGCAAAGGTCCTTGAGGCTTCCTCCACCCAGAAAGTCAGTAGGGGAAGGGATTCTTCATCATTTGAACCCCTGAGCTATCAAGATTGCCTTATGAGATAAAGCTTTGCCATCAAAGACTCAACACCTTTGTCCAAGTGTTTGATGAGGCTGTCTTCTTACCCTTGTAGGAATTTCTGCCAAACAAGTTGACACTTTATTGCCCACACCCACATTCAGACAACAAGACTCAGGTTCCACATTGTCCACTCAAGTACGGACACGTGAGGTCAAGGGCAGTTCTCAGCAGGAACCCTCATGACAAAATGTAGAAAGAAAGTGAATTAGTAGGGGGAGCCTGGATGGTTGAGTCTTTGTTGTGGAAAAACCTTAGACAGAAAACATGACATAATTGTAAAATATTTAGATTCAAAAGTCTATAGTGACCCAAGAACATAATAAAGCAAAATCAACTTCCTAGAATGTCAAAATCATGTTGTGATCTTCTTTGATAGAAGGAAATACAGATTAAAGAGCTGGGATTTATTTCTGTCTAGTTTAGCATAGGGACTGTGCTGTAGCAAGAACCAGGAGGAGTGGATAATCAAGGTCTACAGAGGGGAAAATTTGGAAGAAAAGGAAATTCTCCATTAAGATAAAATTGCACTATTATGGAGCATCCTCCACATAGCTTAGCATCGCTCAGTTCAAAGAACACGTTAGACTGTCCCATTGAGGAATTAAGGCTCACTTAGGTCCTGAACCACAATCCTTTTATCAACTAAACTTGGGCTTAAAATCCTTCACTCTTTTCAGCTGCCACATTGCAACCATCAACCCCGAGGGGAGCCAAGGGCTACTCATGGCTACACTCTGGCCTGTGTAAGGAACTACAGCCTACAGTAATTGAGTTCTACCTGGCATGGAAGTCAAGAGACTGGTTTCATCTCAGAAATGTGACATCAAACCCTGGAACACAGCAGCATGTCAGCCAGTCAGGAACATTTCTGTGAAGTCTGGAACACCTAGTGACTGACTGCCAGTACTATTGGTGCCCCTGTTTTGATGTCCTAGATAGAAGTCTAAATATTTCTCCTATATGAGATCAAAAGTGTAGGACACAAGACAATGAAAAACTTAAGGAAAATAAGGTAAAACAAGATTCAATAATTTTGCTTGTGTTCAGAAAAGCATATTACAGAATATTTGAGTATACTATTTTTTGCTTGGGTATAAAAAATGGGATTATAAAATGAAATGGAAGGGATAAATTAGAAGAAGAAATTCTACAAAATACAACTGGAATCAATATAAATTATAAGGGCCAATTAGCTTTCATTTTTGTTATTCTGAACATATTTCCACATTATAGAGTGAAACACTGTCATTATTGATAACCCTCCACTGGCGTCTTCATTGTGATCATATTTTTAAGTAATCAGTCTCAGTGTCAAGCCAACATTTTTGTTGACTTGTTCTCACATATCTTAATATGCAAGCATCGTGGCATGTCTGTAAAGGAGCTTTGCATTACGGTTTCTCTGTAAGCTATAATTATTGGTGAACTATTATTTATAATTATAGGACTTTTCATAATAATCGGCTGATGCTTTCTCCTAATTGCTAAGATACTGCATTTTGCAGCAAGAGAAGCTGCTACCAGATATGAAATTGGACATTTCTTCTTAGAAATACTGCTGAATTATAGATAAAGGAAAAACATCTACACTGGGAGTACTTGTTTCTCCAAAATTAAATGCACGCACATGTGTGCACACATGCACAGACATACACACACACATGCACACTAGAGTGCACTCACATGCACACTGGCATCTTACCTCCTGTGCCATCCATCAAATAAATTAGCATGCAGATTTTAGCAACAAGGCACAAGAACCGGACTGCAATCAACATGGTTAACACTGAGCAGTTCTGTTTCCCTCTTTATTTTTCACTTAGAAAGTGAAGAGTAGAGTTCATCATTTTAAAGTCTTCAATAGGAAGTCTAGTAGTTGTTGTTTTATTTTTGCAACAAAAAAAAAATAAGAGGAAATCAACCTCCTTAATTTTAAGTGAACCAAGTTGGTAATTGTAAGCATATTACTTTAGAACAAATCTTCAGAAATTTTTTCATCTTACAGAATCAAAACTTCATACTTCTACCTTGGACCATGTGTAACCACCATTTAATTCTCTGTTTCTAGGAGTTTGGCTATTTAGATTCCTCATATAAGAGGAATTGCATGGTATTTGTCCTCAGTGAGAAGCTTATTTCTTCAAGTCCTTTTGTGTTATCACCTGGCGGCAGACTTTCCTTGTTTTTGAATGTTGACTAGTTTGCACTGTGTGAACCACAGTCTCCTCTGCTATTTATTCTCTGGAGACCACTGAGGCCCCTTCTACGTCAGCCTATTGTAAACAAAGCTGCAATGAACCAGAAAGTGCAGCTATCTCTTTCAGATTCTAATTTCAATGATTTGAATAAACATCCAAGCATAGGATTAATTGATTGCTTAGCATATGGTGGTTCTACCTTTAATTTCTGAGGAATTTCCATAGTGTTTTCTATGCTGTCTGTCCCATTTTGTAATGCTGCCAAAAGCTGAGAAGCGACTCAGTTTCTCCAGATCCTTGCTATCATTGCTTAGCTTCCTCCCCATGATGGCTAAATGCTCATCCTATGACATAATATCGCATTGTGAATTTTTCTTGTACTTCCATTAGTGGTGCCCAGCATCTTTTCATGTACCTGTTAACTGTTTGTCTTCTTTAAGGCAACACTTGTTCAAATCCTATGCCCCGCTATTTTGCATGTGTGTGTTATTATATGTGTGAGAGCATGTGTGTGTGTGTGTGTGTGTGTGTGTGTGTGTGTGTGTGCAGTCAGCCTACTTGAAACACTGCACATATAAATAAGGACCACGCTATGTAAGTCATAACACTGAATTCTGAATACTGACTAGCATGACTAGCCGGTAGCTGACCTGTGGATAAGTCTGCACTCTCCACATTGCTTTTAATGCGCTTCTTCTGCATGGAGATACTGGTGATCTGGGCATTCACAGTCCAGTTCAAAGCAATGTGCTAAGCAATCACAGCCAATGGGTGTCCACTATGTAAGCGGTTGTACAAACACAATAAATCAGGTGCTGTTGCCTGAAATCACCTCCACGATGGCTCACCTTGGTACACTGCAGTCTTATCGGGGACGTCCTGGTAACGGTGTCGGTTTGGTGTCCAACCCGGCAGATGTGAGTGCCATAGAGCAAGGAAACCCCCTGGGAAAAGAAAGGGTAGGGGGTCTGGGACAGAATGTGTAATTCGCTGCTGGATCAAAGAGCACCTCCAATGGTTAATAAAAGAGGATGGAATTAAGTATAAATGCCTCGCTTAGGAAAGTTATGGTCTGAGTTCCTGCAGATAAATCCTTGGTTTTCTATAGAGGGCCTCTTTGATCTAGAGCTGTGGGTTACAGCTTTGAAATATGCGAAGAGAGGAAGTTAGGACTGGATGTTCCTTGTTGGAATCTTTCTAGCCTATTATTAGGGCTGTCATTGGGTGTCTGGGCAAGGGAAGGGGTTTGGAGAAAACAGTTGATGTACAGCAGGTTCTTCTAGTGGCAGATGAAGGTAAAGTAAAAAAAAAAAAAGAGGGAGGAGATCAAGATGGTGCTGATTGAAATTCTGGCTGGGACACAGAGAGGACATCTCGGGCAAGGAGGAAGTAACAGTAAGGCACCAGAGGGGTGGTCCAGGTGGCGGCTTCTCGCTGTCGTCTTTAGATCCCTCTTGGACACTGTAGCTTAGAAAGTGAAGAATCTTAGTCACCACCACGATTAGATTCTTTCTTCATGGCTTTGTGTTAGTCGTGATGATTGCTGGCCAAACGTGCAGCCCAAAGTCTCTGCTTTTCCAGTGACCTTAAGTCCTACCCTGAGTCAGGCGGTGGTGGCATAATGCCAGCACTCAGGAGGCAGAGGTAGGTGGATCTCTGTGAGTTCAAGGCCAGCCTGGTCTACGTGAGCTAGTTCCAGGACAAGTTCCAAAGCTACAGAGAAACCATACTTTGATAAATAAATTAAAAAAAAAATCCTACCCTGCAGAGACCTTTAACATGGTGTCCGCATGACCTTAAAACCCTCCAGCAGCTGCTGACTGCTTGTTGAGACGGCAGGCGTCAGTCTCATATGGGAAGCAACTGTTAACAATCCACGACGGTGAATTTAAACACACCGGAAGAATATCACCATCCTGTCTGAGGGTGGAGGAGCCCTCAGGATTTTTTGATTTGAAAGCACATTATTATGATCAGTATGAACTTCTGACTGAAAGCAATTGAGACTTGGGGCAACATTGACATGGGAGGTGTCACGGGAAGGAGCGTTCTCATCACCTGCCGAGCAGGCTTCTGGTTCCCTCAGGATTTTGACCAAGTTCATCAGTGAAAGGACTCTGGCCAGTGCAAGTGTGGCAAGTGTGTCAAGCGTGGCTCTGGTAGGCCCTGCCATTCTCCCTTTCTGTAAACAGGTAGATTGCATTCCTAAAGCTAGACACCATGTTCTATTCCCTTATTTGGCCACTTCCTCCTCTTAAGGCCGACTGCCAACGTCTAATAAAGTATCAAAGCCCAGAAACCAAAAACCTCCGTTGGATCACCTGATTAACATGCCCAGTTAAAGTTAGAACCTCATCCTAACAAGGGATTTCCCCTTGTATCTTTACAAACTTCCTTTTCCCTGTATTCCAGGACTCTCTCTTTTCTATCCAGAGGCTGTTCTTTGTTCTGACAGGACAAATATCTCTGTTCCCTTTCCCTTTATCCCTTCCCCTTCTCCCTCAATCTCTATCTCCTGTGTTTGTCTCTTATTCCCTGCTCTCTATCCTTTTGTGGCAAATAAATATCCTTTGTGCTGAGAACTTGGACTTGGGAGTCATGGGTTGATAATTTTCCTCTCAGTCAGTATGGCCTACGTGCTTGGAAGGCTGTGCCCTCTTCAGGGAACACTGCCAACTTCAGATTAAGACAGAGACCTACTGAGCCTTTTACTAAACTTTTGGCTCAACACAGATTTCCCTGGGATGGAGAGCACAGCATGCTGTGGCAGCTGGCACACTGTGCACGAACTTGCTTATGGTGGGTGCACAGCAGAGACACAGAAAGTACTAGATCCAAAAAAGAACGCCCCTCTGGATGACTGGATCTCAGCCTGGAAATAAATAGGGACTCAGACAGATACTGCCTCTGGCTTTAAAGATGCTTTTGCAGCAGCCCTAAAATCTAACGTCCCATGTTGGTTCTGCACATGTCAATACACTGGGCTTTTTAAAAGAGATTCTCAATGTCTAAACAGGTACCAGATGTCACAAAGGCAAGCATTTGGTAATCCTTCGTAAGTCTAAGTATGATGCAGATGGCCACTTCCCCTGGTTCCTTTAAACTCCCCAAGGGAAACCCTCAACCCCACCTTCAAGAAGATTTTTTTTCCCAAGAGATTCATCTCAGATCAGATCAAAACTTAATGTTTTTGTTTTCTGTTTTGCCTTGTTTTGTTTTTCGCTTTGCTCTTTTGGCTCTTTACCCTTTGGGGAGACTGCCACTCCGCTAGCAAATAAATATACAGAGGCTAATTCTTTCTTATGAATGCCCAGCCTTAGCTTGGCTTGTTTCTGGCCAGCTTTTCTTAAATTATCCCGTCTATCTTTTGCCTCTGGGCTTTTACCTTTCTCCAGTCTAGATACCTTTCTTTACTTCTTACTCCACGGCTTCCTGTGTCTCTGGGTGGCTGGTGTCCTCTTTCCTTGTTCCTCCTTTCTCCTCAATCTCTCATTTTCTCCTTCTATTTATTCTCTTTGCCTGGCAGCCCTGCCTACCTCTCTTCTGCCTATAAATTAGACCAGTCAAGTGTTTTGGACAGGTAAAGTAATACAGCTTCACAGAGTTAAACAAATGCAACATAAAAGAATGCAATACACCTTTGCATCATTAAACAAATATTTCTCAGCATAAAAGAAGTAACATATCTTCAACTAATATTCTACAACAACCTAAGGTTTACTGTACCCATCAAGTCAGTAAGCCCTGGATGGTTATGCATTGGGAAGGAAAATGATTTAAAGGAATTGTAGTTATAGGAGCAGATGTTTCCATTATCAGGGCAGAGGAGATAGCCCCTGAGTGGGTTCTCACTGCATATCCTACTGTGGAGGGTGTTGGTGGTCATATATGTTTCAAAATACCTTTAACCTTTCTTATATGGAAAGACTCTGATGGGCACACTGGAAAATCTAAGCCCTTGACTCTTGAAGGCTTATCTAACCATCTCTGGGAGAGAAACGTATGTGAAATGACTGGATTCATGCTGACTACTGATGATAAAGCCTTTTGAGATGCCCCAGTGCTCATGAGAGAGGAAATGCATCCTCACCCCAATACAAGGGGGTTATTGCTTCACTTCCTGAGCCCATAAAAATTCTTAGGAGTTAGTAGCAGAATGGAAACATGACATATTAAACAAGCCTCATCTCCTGGAACTTCGTCATTCAAAACAAATAGACAAACAAAAACTACAGAAAAATGGAGATTATCACAATGACTTAAGAGCCATTAATTTATAGGTGAAAAAGATGTGGTCAGGTCTTTACAGACTGGCCTCTCATGAGGCATTGCCATCCCTATTAATAAATATAATCTTGGATATAAACAATTATCTTTGGTCTCTCCCAATACATCAAGAGGATAGGTGAAGTCTGTACCTGTGTCAGATAATGAAAATCCAGCTGTAAGGTGAAAATAGAAATTCTGCATCAAAAAATGAAAAAATAGTCCTACTATGTATCAATATTATGTATTTCAGGTTTTGTATACTTTGTTAAATGACCTCTCTATCACCTTTGTTCATTATATGGATGGTATTTTGCTCATCCATTATGATTTTAATGAATTAGAGGAAAATTTTCAACTAGCTCTGGCCAGTTTAAACAGTATAGGTCTGAGAGTTGCCTCTGAAAAAAATAAATAAGTCTTGCCTTACAATTATCTGGAATTGCTTATGAAGTTATGAGCAGTATCCTTAAGCCTCACTCAATTTCAAACTCCTAATCAAATAATGTTAGGTGCTCTTCAAAAACTATTAGGAGACATTAATTGCACCAAGCCATTTCTGCAGGTCACTACTGGTGATTCGTGGCTCCTCTTCCAGATACTTGATGGGGACCCAGACCTTTCCTTAGTGAGATACACAGATCACAAAGCTCCGTTGTCCCAGAAAGGTTAATGAAGCAGCAAACGTACTAAAACTCTACCTATGGGATCCCACTAAGCGGATGATTTCCTGTTAGACAGAAACTCATCCCATTCCCACTCTACTACTGTTTTAAAATCCAAATTGTCCTATTAAATGGGTCCATTTGCCCTCAAATTTCCCTCCAAAAATTACAACACAATTGGATGTGTTATGTACCTTGGTAAGAGAGGTGAGACACAGAGCAGTTAACTAGCATAATTTAGCCTTCCAATAAACATACAGTTGATTCTCTTTACAATAATCATTCTTGGTTTCAAGACAATATTTTTACCTTCCCAGGAATATTAGATAATCATTATCCTCCATGGAAGCCCGCACAAGTTTCAAGACAAAGCGCTGTAAAGAGTTTTTCTCCTGTCGGTTCAGACCCTCATAGTTTTCACCGATGCTCTTCCAATGGAGGAATAGCTTATATAATACTCAATAAAATAACACAAGAGTTTAAAATTTGGAATCTCCTGCTCTAGAGAGAGCTTCCTCACAGTGTTTAGAGTTGAAAATTGTACTCATAACCGAGAAGCACCATCCTAGCCTACTAACCGGCATCAACATATGTTTACTGTGCTCAACTTATTCTTCGATTACCTGTTGCTTGCATGAAGTCTAAAAGTATGTCTTCCTTGGACTTCCAAATTATAGCTTTGCAAGTTGTAGTACAACAGAGACAACATCCTATCTTTGTGTTACATATCAGAGCTAATTCTGTTCTGGAGATGCTAGGCTTCCTTAGCCTCCTTATTCCCCAGGGAAAGGTGAGTGTGCTATCCACTCATTCCACAGACCCATGACGCAGGACAATCACATGCAATAGGGAGTCAAGTCAAAGTAAGGACTCAGTTTATTACTGTGAGCATCAGCTTATATAGCTTAAGTGACATGGTGTGATGTGGGGGTCCCTCCAGCCAATGAGAGACAGCCAAGCCCTCCCTCTGGCTAGAGGGACATCTACCTAGATTTTGCTGTCTCATCCTTACTCAGTTCCTTTAAACTTGAGCCAGACTTTTCTCTGTCGTACAGGCCTTGAGGTACAGGCCCTGAGATAATTTTGGCCCAACATGGGGATGCTAAATAAAAGATATGTTCTTGCTGCTGGGACATCACCATCTCTAGGGACCCCCTGTCACAGGACACGGTAGCCATGCACGATTGTCTACACATCAGTCTGTATAGTCCTTACTGTCCTTTCCCCTGTTTTTAACTCATCGAAAGCAAACCAACCAACCAACAAAAACAGATTATTTGAGGATATAATGCCTGTGCCCTATTTCTCCTTTTCAGACCTTTGAAGTTGAAAGGGACTAGTCTCTAAGGGACTAATGTCACTGGCATTACGGCAAATGGATATTATGAATATTGTCTCCTTTGGTCAGCATAAGTATGTTCATGTCATGGTGGACATTTATTCTCACCTTATGGCCATACCAATTTTGAATTCCCAAAGCCAAGCTATAGTGGAGATAGCACACAAAATCAAACTGAAAAACACAAAGGGGTGAATACATAAAAAGTCCTTTCCAGACCCAGGTCCCAGTGACAGCCTTGGAGCCCTTTCATTGCGGAAGAGACTTGTATGCGTTAATGTGTCAGCTTCTTCTCTGGGCTGGCAACTGCTTTTCTTGTTTTATCATTATAACAATTACTGTCATCAATATCAAAATATTTACTGATGCGCCAGGCAACTAATTGAGACATACGAAGTCACCACTTAACTCAATCGTCCAACAAACTCCTCGTGTAACACTTTAAATATCAAGGAGCTGGAACATAGCAATCTTAGGTAGGAACTCACATATTCCTATCATCGTCTGTGATTCTATTCATCATGTCTCACAGTGCAATTCAGAAAAAGGTGAGCATACCTTTTCAATTGATGTTAATTGATGCAGAGTTAAGATGACTCTTGCTGCTCCAAGACTTCCAAGGAGGACTTGGCATCTGATCATCTTTGTTCTGGATAGATTCCCAAGGTTGTACTCAGAGCACATCAACCAATTTGAAGACACAGCAGGTCTCAGAAACAAGCCAGTTGGGAATCAGAGGCAGTTCTTTCCAAGCCATGTGGCTCCTGCTGCTTGCCAAACCATGCAATTCCTCGTCCTTTCAAAAAAAGAAGAAGAAAAAAAGCTCCATGTTGAGAGGAGTTCTTACATTTGGAAATTGTATTATGAGAATTTTTTTTCTTTATTCAAAATGCTCAATGATTTTTATGGAGCAAAAATTCACATGAGGCTTCAGTTACAATTTGGATAAGCAATCCTTCACGGCTACCTTCTGAGCAAAAAGCTCTCAAGTTATTTTTCCTAAGGATGTGAAAGGATGAATAAAAATCTCTGCCCCTCCCATAACTAGGCAGACGGGAAGAGGCTCTGAATAGTTGAAAAGAGGTAGCAAGAGAGAGAAGGAGGGGAAAGGGATGAAGGGAGAGACTGGAAGAGGAGGGGAAGGAGAGGTAGAGAAAGGATGCCTTGAAGAAACCCAGGTAAGTGAGCAGATGGTATGTTATATTGTAACTACATATCATACATATATGAACAGATAATAGATAGTTTGTTGTGCCACACAGACTTAAAGCCCCAACACATTTTATTCTTAACCAAAACTGTATTTGACCTGGTGCTGGAGATACTCTTAGTGATAGAGTACTTGATTAATATGTACAAGGTCTTGGGTTCAGTTCTAGTATCAAATCTATACATGGATGTAAGTGTATGGATGTAGGGTATGAAGGTCATCCATTATAACTCCTGGTTATAAACTGAAAGCTAATTGGATATGCCAAGTAAAATGTTATTGATTTGAGTACTCTGGGACAATAAAGGCTTAGATTAACTATACACCTGTTTAGAATTCACAAGACTGGAGAGTGTTTGCATAAAAATTATCACAATATTTTAATTAAATGAACTTGCTATTTTAATAATGTGAAGTTGAATTTCTCAGTCTCTTTACTAAAATGAGACAGATATTTTCCTATAGAATTAAAGAATATAATGAATTATTTCTATAAAATGATCAATGTGACCCTCAGATTTATAAATGCTTACTTCAGTACTACATCTCCAACATCCTATTATGTAGAAAACAATTTTGGTCTTGTAAATTATATTTACTATAGGAGACAACTTTCCTGCAAACCTTATCATGGTCATTGTACTGGTTTCTGATCAAATGGATATAATAAATACAAATAGTTAGAGTAACAGAGATCAACCAATTATAGGATTTGATAAGAAGAAAGTCATTATATTTCTGTAGAGTCTATAGATTAATTTTAGTATATAAAACTCCATTTATAATGGGACAGCCACGACCAAGCCATAGTTTCCACACTATATGTAAATGTGAGCAAGGTGTTTTTTTTTTCAGGGTCTCAGATTCACTGTTGTTAAAAACAAGGCAAGCAATGGGTTACATATGTGTGGAAAACATGTATACTGCATAAAAGAATTAGTAAATAAGCAAAAGTATAACCTTTATGCTCAACTCATTCTAAATAACCATATATATTACATCTTTTAAAGACAGTTTTTAAAAATCTATGTACATGGGTGTACGTCTGTATGAGTCTACCCGCAGAAGCTAAGTTACGGATAGCTGTGAGCTGCCCATTGTGGATGCTGGGAACAGATCTCAGGTCCTCTGGAAGATCAGGACGTCCTGCTAAGCACTGATCTATCCCAAGCCCTGCAGTAATGTTCCCTCATGCGCACGACTAACAAAAACTCAGAGACAGAAATTGGTGATCAGCCTGAAGATCAGAGAAACAAAACAGCCAGCCACTGGCTCTCACCTCTACCTCCGTCCAAAATGGCGATCCTGCCTCCAGGAATCTCAGAGTGAGACTGAGACTGAGAGCTGTCTCCTCCCATTTTATATTCCTCTCTAGTTCTGGGATTAAGGGTGTGCACCACTACTGCCTGGTTTCTATGGCAAGCTAGTGTGGCTACTGGGATTAAAGGTGTATGGCAATGTGGTTACTGGGATTGAGGGTGTATGTCATTGTTGCCTGGTCTGTAAGGTTGGCCAGTGTGATTGTTTACTTTCCTGGTCCTCGGGAAGCACAAGTGACATGCCATTACACTCTCAGTCTAAGAATTGATGTGTTGGCAGGAGCTGCTCATTTGTTCTCGGTGACCCAGACCTGAAATAATCACACAGAAACAATATGATTTACAATACTGTTTGGCCAATAGCCTAAGCATATTGATAGCTAACTCATATATCTTAAGTTAACCCATTTTTATTAATCTGTGTATCGCCACGTGGTTGTAGCCTACTGGTAAGGTTCTGACGGTGTCTGTATTCTGTGGTGACTCCATGGCTTCTCCGGAGTCTGCCTACTCTCTCCTCCTTTATCTGCTTGGAACTCCTGCCTTGCCTTACTCTGCTAGGCCACTGGCCGAAACAGCTTCTTTATTAACCAATGGCAATAAAACATATTCACAGCATACAGAGGGGAATCCCACATCATTGATGTGCTTCCACTTAGAAGCTATAAGTATATTTTCAAATTAATGTTAGTTAAAATATAAAATAATAGGTTTCACTATGATATCTCATACACATAGATCATTGTACTTTGCCTAGAGCTTCCGCCCAAATATTCTATTGTCCCCCACTCTTCTAGTTACTTAGAATTTATCTATCAGGTGTTTCAAATTCAACCAAAATCACCTTCTACAGTAACCTGTCAGTCTCGGCAACACCATTCCTTCACCACCTGTTCCTTTTATAACAGTGTCCCTGTGCTGATTTGGCTTGCAAAGACCTTAATTCTGTGCATTCCCATTGAACCAGATTCCTTCTGCACAGACAAGAGTGATTCATAACCTCTACCAAAGTGTATTATTTGGATCCATAGCAGAAGAGAAAGGAACCAAATGCCTTCTTATCGAGCCTTGGAAAACGGGGGACCTTTCCTTGCCTGTTTTAGAGGAACTGGCTTTGGCGACTGACTTTTCACTACTGAAAAATGATGTCAGAATTCTCTGCAGTGACGTAGACTAAGAAATTGCGTTAGTGAACATTAAGTCCACAAACTAAAGTTATGATTATTTTATAACAACATAAAATAGGTAATATCAAATCACGAAGGATAAAAGAAAACCCAAAGCCAGTCCTCCTGTGGCACTGTAATGGTGTAAGGTGCTAAGTCAGTGTAGTGCCTGCTATTATTAGTTATTGCACAATGAGCGTGCTTTTGAGCGCTTCCAAATGTTGTGTCATTGCGTGGTCCTCACTGCAACCCAAGGGAAATAGGCTACTGTTCCCCCTCCGTACACACACACACACACACACACACACACACACACACACACACGCACGTGTGCGAATCTCCATTAAAACTTCCGTATAATTTTCTGCTATGACAAGTATTCTATGAAGAACTTGAAGTCTGAGCCTGTGTACTCACAAAAGGCACTAGAAAAAGGCTATGAATTGGTAGCTAATTGAGCTGGCTCAGTTGTATGGTTAATTTCTTCTGATGGATATAAAATTCATTGCAGATGTGAGGGGCTCCTTCAATATTGAAAGGTGGGGATGATGTAAGCATTAAGAAAACAAGAGGGAACAGCGTACAAGGGAAGGACTTTAAAACACTTTTAAAAGGAGCCACAGTCCTTCCTCGGTCACGGCCCATCAAGCTCTGGGTGCCGCTCTCCCAAGGGGCTGGCATAAGGCTTCCCAGGATCCAGTTAGACTACTCTGCCCTTGTCCACCCCAGACACACACACAGGCTTGCCCACTGAGTCACCTGCCCTTGCAGTCTGTGACACCCTCTACCTCCCCCCACTGCTGCAACACACCAGGGCACCGATTCAGGAATGTCTTCTTATATGGTGACCTCACGGGGTCTCTACTTTTCAAATGAACAGGGATGGGGAACAGACAAATCCACTCAAACGTGGAAGAAACTTGGTCATCAAGGCTACCATGCCTACCGTGCACTCTCAGGTGTCACCTGCAGCAGGACTACTGTGCCTCTACAGCTTGGGGTGTCACCTTCGTATAAAACTCATGCAGATGAATCAGCAGATCAGAGAAGAGATAATCACAGGGTTCAATTCCCAGCACCACCTAGTAGCTCACAACTGTCGGTAACTCCCGTCCCAGAGGATCTGGCGCCCTCTTCTGGTCGTATGGTCACTGCATGGATGTAGCACACAGAAGACGGCAAAACATCCACACAAGAGAAAATTTAAAAAAAGGAGAAAAAAATAAAATGATGAATTAAAAATATGGAGGCCACTGTGCATATGCAAAATCTGTCTCCTGATCTGTTCATTGGTCCCTGAGACCAGAGCGTGGTCTTCTGTGTGAGGGCTTTAGCCATTGTTCTTACCACTTATCTCAAGAGTGTTTATGAGAAGATAGGAGCTGGAGAAGGGCAAAAAGAGAGAATATCAACGACCTTTTAATAAACCCTGTGTCTCCCAAGAACTCTACGTTCCTTGAGCTATTTCTTGTTCTTATCCATGTGGTACGGAGGGGGTAGATGCTCAGAGAACATTGAATACTCTCCATATCCAATGCCATTTAAGTAGCATTTTTTTTTTTAAAGAAAAAGACAAACACCACAGGTGGGCAAGGAGTTAGATATGAAGAAGCTGAGAAAAACTGCGCCTGGGTAGCTGCGCCCCCTGGAGGTCAGAATGCTCCTGTATGGTTAAACCCCTTTGAAGCTTCAGTTGTGCAGTCCCAGTTGTGCTTTAGACACGAAAGCACAGTTGAGACCACACACATGCATGAAGTGGGGGCCTCGTCCTGCAAAGACTTGCTGTCATTTTGCTATCACTTTCATTTTGCATCATACTCCCCTCTTGTGAGGGTCGTGGGGAGAAATGCTCTAAACGGGAGATACGGTTTGCCACGATTTGGGAGGGAAAAGTTTCGTTATGACTACTTTACTTGTCTCAAAAGCATGCTTTAAAGTCGACAACCCGGTTTCTAGTGAGTGTTCCCCACCGTGGAGCAGTCCACTGTCTGGCTCTGGCAGGTTTACCTCGCTTTGCTAATAACCTTCTCCTTAAAACATACATGTCTTTGGACAAGAACCAAAGAGATCCATGACACCATTGGAACCCACGCTTATGTGT